AAAAAAAAAAAAAAAAAAAAAAAAAAGCAGCAACTCAAAATCTTGTCAAACCTTGCACCACAACATAGCATTTACTACAGCAAGTGGGAGTTTGCCTGGGTGTGACTGCAGTATCTTTTCCAAGTTGCCACCAGCAAAACTGGCCAACTTTTTCCTTTTGTCTGGCTTGTGAAACAGGCCTACCTGCTGGTTGCTGGGCTGGAATCCAAGAACCAGCCCTAGCCATTTTGCAAGAATGGCATGAAGCCAGTTCATCACTCAAGGTTTCAATGAGCCTCAAAAGGAAAACATAGAACTATTCAGAAATAGCTCAGACAGAATCTTGCTACCTTCATTCCCAATCTAAGAGATTCTCTCACTCTGCTATCTGTAGGTACAACCCAACATGCCTTAGAAGGAATTTGCCCGAATCTGAACAGAGAAAAACTTGCTATTTTCTACAGCTCTTCAAATCTATTATTCTGATGCACCTTCCCACTCCCTTTCCACCTGCACCTAGGAGAGAGATGTACTTCACCTTTCAAAGAGGGAGGTTCATCTGGTCACCATTCTCTAAGTAACATGAGAAAAGGCATCAAATGCAATCACAATCCTGGGAGCAAAGCTTGCTAGAAAGATAGGATATAAGCTATCCCAGGCAAGAGCCTTTGGCAGGAAAACATGACTGATAACTCTCTAGGCATGTTTCATCTTTCCCAGCCTGTATCTTTAATCTTGACAAAACAGTCTGCATTAAATCCCAATGTTGTACTCTATGGCTAAATAGACATTTAAAAAGCCCAAGCCTGAATTAATTCAATCTTTGCAGGTTAGCCTAACCTGTGTAGATTGAACTGACAAGCAAGTGAATAGACACTCACTTTTGATTCTGGAAATGCAGCTACATGCCTGCAGTGTCTCAGGTTAGAAGCCGGGGGCACTTGAGAGAGGTCTTCCTTTCCTTCTGCAGTGGTTGGAAGGCTAGAGGGAAGCTGAGCTGAGGGTGGGGTGTGGTCAGGCCCTGGCATGCTGAGTATGATTGGGGAGGGGTTTAAACCCCAACCCTGGCTGCAGGGACCCCAGCCAGGGTGTGCCTGGATGGGGAGGGGGAAGCAGCCCTTGCCAGGCTTTTGGAGGGTGGGAGAAGGAGGGGCATGGCCAGATCCCAGCCCCTGGCTGACACGAATGTGTTGAGCAGCAAAAGGGGGGGCATGGCCAGACTCTGGCCCCAGGCCTGAGATGAAGGTGGTGGTGGTGGGGGAAATCACAAAAAAGTGGGGCTGACAGGGACCACATCGGGGCCCAGGGCTGTGCCTCTCCAGCCCTGAGCACTAAGGCAGCACCGCACAGAGGCTCCCCCCAGCCTTCACAGTAGAGGAAGGGGAGAGCCCTGCCCACCACAGCAGCTCTGTAACAGCCCAACCCGGCCTGGGCCCAGAAGCCAGAAGCAATCCAGGTGCACAGGTCTCATGGCCTGAGCCCGAGCCTCAGCTTGCTGGGAAGGGCCCTGCCCCCATGGCATGGCCCAGCTGGCCCTGACATCTGCTTGCCTCACCCAGGGCTGGATCTGAGGCTGCGGGCCAGGCCAGCCCAGGACAATTTCACAGCTCCTGCAGCCCCAGTCAGAGCTGCAGCCAGATGGGAAGAGCCCTACTCCCATGGCCTGGCCCAGCCCTGCCATCTGTCCACCTCGCCTGGGGCTGGGGCTGGGGCTGACCTGAGCCAGCCCATGAGCACTGCTGAGGGTGGGCACAGAGGGGCCAGCCAGGCCATGGGGTCAGGGCCCCAGAGGGTCTGGCCAGGATTCAGGCAGGAGCCAGACCGGGGAACTCTGGAGGTCCCCACCAGCCCTGCTTCTCTGTGATGTCCCTGCTCTCACTGCTCAAGCAGTGAGTGGGGGAGAAAGCCAGGCAGGACAGAGAGAAGATTAAACGCCCCCTGCTTCCCCTCAGGCTACTGGCATCTGGCCACACCCCCTGCTTCTGCAGCTGGAGCAGTGGAAGGCACTCTGGCACAGGGTTTCCCACCTCCACCCTCCTCAGCCAGTTTGAGCAGTAATAGTGCTCCAGCTAAGGAGGAGAGGAGTGGGGCCAATCCTGCTCCACTGGAGCAAACAGCCCAGGCCAACCCAGCCCAGGGCTGCAAAGCATCCTGGGATACTGGGGGACCAAGTTAGCTTAAACCAGGATGGGGTCTGGGACAGAAGATCCCTAAGCTGGTTTAACCTCAATCAGTTAATTCTGATACTACATTCAACCAGGTTTAATTTAATCCAGTTTTGGCCATTTTGAAAGTAGTTTCTGTGCACTGAATTTCTGTTCAGTTACAGGTTTAAACCAGTTTCTGATCACATAACCTGGTTTGTGTGTAACTTCTGTCCCTAGCCTATGAGGCTGCTTGTACATAAGGAGGACTAAACCCCCACCACAAGTTGAATTGGTGGGTTTTTAATTGTGATGATTAAAAACCCTCCATTTTAATTTAGGGGCTCCATCATTGCTACAGCAAGGGGTCCAATCCCATTTCTTTTTTCCTCCAACAGAGCATGCCCACTGCCAGCGGGCCCTGAGCTGCTGAGCCAGCACCCAGCCTGCTAGCATCCCACCTGGGCAGCCCTGGGGATTGCTGCTGCTGCAAAGAGAAGGATCAGGGCCCTCTCACAGCTCAGATACTGCTGGCAGCTCAGCCCTGGCCACAGGCAGGCTGTCGGAGAGGCAAAATTGGGCCCCTCACTGCTACTTTAATCCCCCAGTGGCAGCACCCCCCGGGGCCACCCATGGGGGGTGCTGGCTCTGAGCTGGCACAGCCCCTGGCCTGCAAGCACCTCACCCAGGCAGCCCTGAGGAGCGAGGTACCAGCAGGCTGAGTGGCTCCTGAGTTGCGGAACCCCAGGGATGGATATATCCCTGCAATTTGTTATGTGGCAAACTAAAATGCATTGGGATTTAATACATTTAATTTGTAGTATGCCGCTGTATGTGTACAGTGTGATGAAATTAAAGTGCAATATGCCACCACAGGTGTAAAGTATGATGCAATTAAAGTGCTAAAAAGGGCAATTTTGTCGCATGTACCACCGCTCTGAGAGTGCTATGGCTATAATCTGCAGGCTAGCTCATCGGCTGCACTGTATTCAGCTCCAGACTAGCACAACCCTCTGTTCTCTGACGTAGGCTTAGACAGAGCTAGGAGTTGCTTGCTGCTGGGGCAGCCAGTAGAGATTTAAGATCAAAAATTCACAAATGGACCCTCTCCCAATCCACTCCCATGACTGCCTCTGAGGGCAAGGAAACAGAGTGACAAAGGAAGAAAATGATGTGGGGGAGGGGTTTTTTCCTGAATACAACATAATTCTGAAAATCCCAATTTAATTATTAAATATTATTTTTCTATTTCAAAGGATAGCCCTCACAATGTTAAACAGGTGAATGTTTTTCTAACCAACAGCTTAATTTCAGAGAGGTCTGAACTTCAAAATCTAAAGTGGAATTTTGTATTACTGATAATTTTTCCCATTTTCCCCAAAACTCTCCCACCCCCTACTCCCCAAGAAATTAAAAGGACAAAAAAGTTAACCTAATTGACACTTATAGAGCATTTTGTATTATGCCTTTTCCAGCACTTGACAGATCAGCAGTTGTATCACACATATGACAAACCCCTACTGGTATAACTTATTGGAATCTGGAAAAGCAAGACAGACAGAACTTCACCAGTGCAAGTTACACTGACACACACATTTTTCTAACTGAAACTGCCCACTTAAATCCCAGATTAGTTATTTGTTCAAATGCAAACAGACTACCTGTTCTCCTACCACACAGTGGCAAGGTTATGTAATAGGAGCTACTACAAGCAGCTACCCTGGAATAACAGCATGTGTGGTCCACTCCAGACAGCAGTTTAATTTACGTCAATATGAAAAAAGTGATATAAAATTACTATAAGGAGATGCAGCCTTCAAAGGGCTGATACTCCAGCTGCAGGGAGGCAGCAGTTAATAGGCTGCCTGGCTGGAAAGCTGGGAGCCAAATGTAGCTGATGAATAATAAATGAGGATGGGGCCACAAAGAGGGTTATAAGAGCTCCAGAAGGAGAGTATGTGGGAGAAGGCTGAAGTGCTAAGGGAGAAGCACAGAGCCTGGGTTGCTGCTCTCAGGGTCTGAAGAGAGATTACAAGTTTGGGTTTTGTTTGTGGTTTTCACATTTGCTTGTTTTGTTTACTGTGAGGCTGAGGTTGCCCCACAAAATAAACTGGCTGGAAACCTGGAACACAGATATGACTGGCCATGATAAGGAAGCAGGGCAATTACAGCTTAGAGTTACACTGGTATAAATATGTCATCAATCCAGGTCCAATCCTGCATATGGAAAGGGCTCTGATGATGGCCAAGTGTGATTACTGAAATATTCATATTTGCATTTTCTGATTTCAATTATGAAAAATTAACATTGCATTAACAGCTTTTTGCTTAAAATTACTTCATTGAAACCAGTTTTACAGCACCATATCACATTTCCTAATTTTTTTTAGTAAATACAGTACCTTTGTAATCGCAGTGAAGACTTTTTCCAGAATAGCGTTAGGTTGAGCTTTTTGTGGTCCATTGGCCTGTACTTTAAGAGCTAAGGCACATGGTTTTGCTATGAACCTGCAAAATAAATAAATAAATAAATACATGGGAGAATAAGAAAACAAATCAAGTGAGATCCTTGAGTTATTTACCAATGACATGTTGTAAATGGGCAAAAAGTTATAAAAATGTCATGATGCTTTGCCCTGAAGATTTTATGGGGTCAATCAGATAATTGGTAACACATCAACAGCTGACATACTATATACCCTAGTGAAGACATCAACACTGTACATATCAATGAAGGAAACAATACAATATAAGGGCCTTTTTAGAAAGGTTTGGAAGGAAGAGGGAAACTGTGGACCATATGAAATAGAAAGCTGTTCAAAACGTGAAAATGTACAAGACTGAGTTCTGTAATGAGATGACTATGTGCAATAGAAAAGCAAGACAATGCTCTTCTCTAAATATTGCCTTTTTAATAAACCAGATTCTAGATCAACTATCAACAGAGAACTGCATCTGTGTAACAAAACTTCAAAGAAAGCCTTTAATGTCTAGAAGTTTCAGAGTTGCTTCGTCAACCTAAATCAGTAAATACCTAAGTAATGTAAGAATAAGAGATCTGAGCTAATTGAAATGGTTTGGGGTAATTTCCTTGAGATTTTTGAAAGAAAAAGTATTCCCTAAAAAATTCTCTACTGGTGTACAGGATCTCAAGCAAGCAAGCACAGTTCAACCACATCAGTCAATAATTGTTTCATTTAAAACTATTTTCTTTTATGTAGAACCCAATTTACATAATGCATTTACAGATTACTTGTATGGATCTCCATCTAGGGAAGAATGGCCCTGCATATACTTGAAGATAATGTATTCATATTCAGGGTGGATTTGATTTAAATCAAATCTATTTAAATCATGGATTTAAATCACTGGTCAGGAAGTCTCAATTTAATCATGGTTTTCTACAAAAAGTGCATTCTTGTTGTTTGATATAACCTTTGTTCAAGGCTATGGAAATAGGTGTCAGGATAGCCAGAATACATTCTATATTCCTCTTTAGTCTAATGTTGAGAACTTTGGCCATGACAATTCCATCTATTTTGTCACGATTTTGGTCACAAATTGTAATCAGATTAGGTCAGTTCTCAATATATTGCTCAAAACAGTCTACTACTGAATTCCATTGCATGTCTTGTAGGAGTTAGTTTGGTTCCTCTTGCTTTCTTCAGGTAAGCTGCTGCAAAGTGGTTGTTTCAGAAATACATTGCAATTTCAACAAAATTCTGCTCAAAATGTTTCTCTTTTTTCTACTTCCCCTCCCGCCTTGCATTTATTTCTAGACTCCTCCTCCTTGCCCAGATCTCCTCCTCCCCCAACAATGCTTTATTCATTTAACTTCTTGAAACTTTGCAATTTTAGAGAGGTAAGTACTTGACTCTGTGTACATGTAACTTGCAGAGAGACCATAGGGCTAATGGATGAGAGAGAACAAATCTGATTACCCATCTCCATATATTGCTGTTAACAAAGATGTTATCTCTGAAGACACAAATCCAGTTTAAGAACTGAAATTAAGCTTCACAGAGATGCTTAATGGATCTTTTAGACTGAGCACCAAGTCCCAATGTGTTGAGTGGTTTTCTTTAATCTTTACTAATCTATAGAGGAACATCTGGGAACCCCATAAGATTGGGCCCCTAACATAGTACAAGGCCTGTTGTGACTTATTTATAAAACCTTTCTAAAAAAGTTATGTGAATATATTGCCTCAAATAGTATATAATTAGAAGTTATAATCCCTATTCCACGACGGTATCTTTGAGTTTTAACATATCTCAAATTAAAACTACCTTTATGTAGGGTTTTTTTTAAAGCATCTTAAAACTAAAAATTACTATTGAATTAAAACAATTCTGATTTTATTTTTTAAAAATTGTTGATTTTTATCCACCTTGTTCATATTAATGGAGTTCTGTTACTGTAGTTCATCCTTGTACAGTGATTATATTTTAGCTTGTGCATGCGGAAATCATATTAGACATGCCGATACAGGAACCACACACCAATGCAGTCATCATATGGCATAAATTTCAAGTCAACAGGTCACATGTTTGGAAACACTGACATACAGATATTTTTAGGATAAGTTTTGCAGTGAGCTTCATATTACTGAATATTTTCCTCTTTGAGTTTAAAGTGGTATAAGTGGATTTCGCCCTAGGGTAGCATACACAATCTATTTTAGGTATGACAAAAAATCCACACAAGTTAATATTTTCAGCAAAAACCTATTTGGCTGAATTTTAGGACACTGCTTAAATAGAAGGGTTTTAAATCACTAACATTAGATTATAAAACCTTATTTAGGGTTGTCAGTTTTTAGTTAAGATTATAAACCTTTTTAAGGCTGGGACAATCTTTTTGTTCTATTTACTTCCAGTGCCTAATGTAAAGAGACCCTGGACCATGACTAAGGCTCCTAGGCAATACAAATAATAAAAGGTAAGAGCTTCCTATTAAAAGCTCTGAGTTCCTCAAGCTTCCCACTGATTTATATCTGAATGTACTGACTGAGTCTTGGTTTCCTTAGGAAAACTTTTCATAATTTCAAAAAACTAAAAAATGTCCATTAGATAAGCAACTACCCCACATTTAAATTTCTTGATTAGAACTGCAGGCTCAAGAGGAAATGTGAAATACTGTCATAATTTAAGTACCGCACCAAGTCTGTCTGTTTTGTGCAAAAAATCATTGCTTCCTCGAAATAGCATAGTTGATGAAAAATAAATCTTAAGCAATATTGTTGTGGTAACAATGGTGTTTGCTAAAGAAAACTGATTGGGTTCAGACTGTAGTTTAACCTAACAGGTTCACAAGCTTCCAGCACATCCATTCTTTAAAAAAGAAAACAAAACAAAACAAAACATGAAATTAAAAAGAACAAAAACAACCCAGTGAGCCAAAAGGAATCTGCATCTAAACTATGTGATTTATATTTACACTTTCACCGTGTTTGATGAACAGTTCTTTCAGAAAAAAATTCATAATGCATGCTGCAACATCTGCATCTGAAAGCAAATACGAAAGCCCGAGATAATTTTTGGTAACTATTTGCAGACTGAAAAGAAAACTGATGATACCACTACATTCGTTATTGGGTTTCTGTATCTTGTAATCTGGTATGCATCTCCTCATTTTTAAATTTGGGTAAGATCCATGTTAGCTGTAGGAATCATGTTTTAATCAGAGGAAAGATGCTACACCTAATTTTAGATATATAAAAACTTTTGGACCAGGTTCTTTGAAAGTAATTAGCATTTCACCACTGTATTCATTGGTAGCAGAGTAACTGATCTTTACCTTTTCTGCTCTTTGTATGTTTCTGCTCTTTAAGTTGTATGTATGCAATGGGCATGAACATAGTTCAGACATATTTCATATAGATAAAATCTATATGCAAGTGTTTATTATTTACATGTGATAACAGAACTTTGCCAAAGGACACAGCCTTTACCAGAGAGGTCGCTCAAGCCTTAACAATGGACCAATGATATTGTGAAGAGAGGACAAGCAACTGGCTCCACTGTGACACTTTCATTCTGTGGCAGGAATTCTCAACCAGGGCACACAGCACACTAGGGTGCTGCAAAACCCTTGTAAGAGAGCTAGTATTGCAAGGTACCCGTAAGTGTGGAAATAGCTATACATGATGCACAAGAACAACTCCAAGATTTCAAACAGAAATCCATAGTGCCAAAGACATTCTGACCTGCTACACTCTTCCAGAGGTCTTTACAAAAGAACTTCTTTATTTTTCTTCTGTAGTCAAAAAAAGAAAGTGAGAGCTAAGAGCTAACATTTTCTGAGGGATACCTTGTGTTAAACAAGGTGGTGAACCACTGTTCTATGGATACTGCTGATAGACAGTCAGAACAGGATACAGTAGGGGTGAAATTCCTTGGTGTAAATACAAGTTACAACTACAAGGGTCTGGCCACGTTACTACTGTTCATAGTTTCATAGTTTCTAGGGTCGGAAGGGACCTGACTAGGTCATCTAGTCCGACCCCCTACCATGGCAGGAAAGAGTACTTGGGTCAAACGACCCCAGCAAGGTGTACATCTAGCCTCCTCTTAAAGACCCCCAGGGTAGGAGCCAGCACCACTTCTCTTGGAAGTTGGTTCCAGATCCTAGCCGCCCTGATCGTGAAGTAGTACCTCCTGATATCTAGCCTAAATCAACCCTCTGCCAGCTTGTGACCGTTATTCCTGGTCACTCCTGGCAGTGCTGGGGGGAACAGGGACCTCCCCAGTGCCTGCTGCTCCCCCCTGACTAGTTTGTAACAGGCCACTAGATCCCCCCTCAGCCTTCTCTTCTGGAGGCTGAACAGGTTCAGGTCCCTTAGCCTCTCCTCATAAGGCCTGCCCTGCTGCCCCCTGATCATGCAAGTGGCCCTCCTCTGGACCCTCTCCATGTTGTCCACATCCCTCTTGAAGTGCGGGGCCCAGAACAGGATGCAGTACTCCAGCTGCGGCCTGACCAGTGCTGCATAGAGGGGGAGGATCACCTCTTTGGACCTGCTTGAGATGCATCTGTGGATGTATGACAAGG